AGGGGTGGGGTGAAGAGAGGGAAAGAGTGGGAAAGAGAGAGAGGGGGGGGATTATGAAAGGAAATGAGAGGGAGAAGGTAAAACGGAGAGAATGAAAGGGAGAGAGATATATAGAGAACACGTGTGTGGGAAAGAGAGAGGGGAACGGATTAAAGGGAGACACATATAAATATTCTCCCCTCCTCCTCGCCTTAAAAAAAAGTGAAAGAAAAATAAGATCTACGTAAAAAAAGCCATTAAGATAACGTAAAAATGTACTTTTTCCCGTGACCTTTCAATCAAGTTTCTCATTAACAACAACAACAACAACAACAGCAAAAACAACAACAACAACAACAACAACAACAGCATTAGCAGCACTAGCAGCAGCAGCAGCAGCAGCAGCAACAACCTCAACAACAACAACAACAACATAGACAGAGACCTCTATACTAAACCAAACAATTCCAGCCATTTACCCCTCATCCCCCCCAAAAAAACACACCCTAGTCCCCTTCTTTGCAACAACCACCAATAACATTATTCTGTTTAGTAATCTATAACGTAGGGTCCAGACTCTGTTGGATTTGTTCCTAAGAACAATGCTTTAGAACAAAAATTCGTTAATTCTCAAAACACCTTCTTTATAGCGGGTTCCACAAAATCTCTTTTGTTCCTATCCCGAACAAAGCTTGCAAACTCAACCCATTTCGCACATTTCCCTTGGTTGTCAAAAAGTTGACACAATGACATTCTGTCTTCCAATTTTAATTACGATGTATATTTTTAGCACAACTGTACTTATGCAAGAGAAAAATAACCCTAAATGAGAATGTAAGAGTATCAGTGTAGCCAAAAGACAGCCGCGGTGAGTGTTGCCTCTGTGCTACATGTAATAATAATGACTGTAAGGTAATATAGCAATTTAAATACGGAAGTAGGGGTTCTTACGCTTGAATATCTAAATATATATTTTTTTATCTTAAACTTTGAATTAGATGTTTACGACACCAACATCAGCTGTCTCAACCACAAGATTTTGTTGCATTTTTTGGTGTCTTTATTTAAGTATTTGGTGAAAACTGGCATACCATTAAACGACCAAATAATATACATGTACTTCCTATCTCTTTTGAGATACGAAAATCTTAAAATATTATTGGTCATGCCAAATGTTTTTAATACTTTGTGATTCTTAACTTATACTTGTTGCATATATCCGGTTTTAACGTGAAAGTTTTAGGAGAGCTATACATACTTTAAAAAGAAAAACAACAATAAGCAAACAAACAACCAAAAAAGCCCCCCC